TGCTGGAAGTGTCCCCTGTGTCCAACAGGGCCAGTACCAGCCAGCTCCAAGATGGACTCGCTGTTGGCAAAGGCCGAGCCTATCAGCGATGGTGGTAGTGCCTCTGTGATAACATGTTTAAGAAGGGGGAAAAGTTGCTGCGCAACAGCAACTGCAGCCAGAGAGAGGAGTGAGAATGTGAAACATCCCTGCAGACACCAAGGTCAGTGAAGAAGGAGGGTGAGGACGTGCTCCAGGTGCTGGAGCAGAGATTCTCCTGCAGCCCGTGAAGCAGGCCGTTGTCCTGCAGCCCACAGAGGTCCATGGTAGAGCAGAGATCCACCTGCAGCCTGTGGAAGGCCCCCCGCCGTGGAGGACCCCACGCTGGAGCAGGTGGATGCACCCAAAGGAGGCTGTGACCCCACAGTGGAACAGGCTCTTAGCAGGACCTGTGGACCCATGGAGAGAGAGAGGAACCCATACTGAAGCAGGTTTGGTTGGACTTATGACCCCATGCGAAAGCCTGCGTTGAAGCAGTCTGTTCCTGAAGTACTGCACCCCATGAAACGGACAGACCCACACTGCCGCAGGTAGTGTAGAATTGTAGTCAGTAGGAAGGACTCACATTGGAGAAGTTCATGGAGGACTGTCTCCTGTGGGAGGGACCCCACACTGAAACAAGGGAAGAGTGTGAGGGGTCCTCCCACTGAGGAGGAAGGAGCAGTAGAGACAACAGGTGATGGACGGACTGCAACCCCCATTCCACATCCCCCTGCACCGCTGGTGGGCAGGAGGTAGAGAAAATTGGGAGAAAAGTTAAGCCTGGGAAGAAGGAATGGGTGGGGGGAAGGTGTTTTAAGATTTAGTTTTTATTTCTCATTACTCTGATTTGATTAGTATTAAATTACAATAATTTTCCCCAAATCGAGTCTGTTTTGCCTGTGACAGTAATTAGTGAGCGATCTCTCCCTGTCCTTTTCTTGATCCACCAGCCTTTCATCGTATTTTCTCTCCCCTGTCCAGCTGAGGAGGGAAGTGATAGAGCAGCTTTGGTGGGCACCTGGCATCCAGCCAGGGTCAACCTGCCACAAATGTAACAGGCACTTCAGAACTAATTTCTTGAGATGTCCATTAATTTGTTTCATACTTGGTGCAGACTTCAGAAAGCATCAAGAATTTGGCGTGCAAATTAGTTCTTTTTACAGCTTCACTTTCATACACAATAGTAGAAACTTGTCAAGAAAGATTAATTTCTATGGATTTTGCAAAGTATTTATCACATCACACGAAGTCTGATTCTAACTCTCTGATAATGTAGTTGTTTCCCATGCTTTTACTCCATTAAAAATATGTTGAATATATTCTTCAACAAATTATATATTAAAAAAGGAATAAGACAAGTATATAACAGCACAAAATCCTCTATCACTTACTACTTTTGTTAGCAATTGAAAACGTCAATTGAAAACTCACTATCGGATAACCTTAGGACAGTACCTCTGCAAGCACCTTGCCCTCCCCAAGCACCTTGCTAGCCTTTAAAAGGCTAAAGCAAAGCACAGGACTATAATCACCTCCTCTGACTTCCCTTAAAAACACACAGTAATTTGCTTGAACATGAAAAAAGAATCTGGTTTGGTTTTTAACATCCATTGATCAAATCATCACTTAGGATAATGAAAATCAATAGTATCAATTGTATAGAAGGCACCACATATTTAAAACAAAACAACATGCATGGTAAAGAACTTCCAAAGGAGTTTTAGACGACTGGCAGTATTTGAGGTATCTACTGTAACAGTCTCCCCAGTAATTTTCTTAGGAAGTGACTTCACAGTGGTTAACCAGCAGTTATTCAGCCACATGTGGCTGTCAGATTAACTACGCCTTCAAACCCATTGCAATAGCCAGGAAAACAAGTCAAATATTAAAAATCTGTAATGACATATAACATTCATGATGATTTTCTTCAATGGGGAAGAAATCGCCCTGCAATAATAAAAATTCAGAATACAAATGGAATGTGAAAATCCTGACAGAATTAAAAGACAAGTTATTTTTGTGGCACTTTCAAAGTCTACTTGTGAAACACAAGCCTCTTCTTAGCATTCCTTACTACTTGTAAAATTTTACCAGACAAACTTCACAAGCTTTGTACTTGGATCAAATACAAGCTTTTCAGTTAATTGAATTTTTATTTAAAAATATTTTCATCACACAAAAGACCTGCATAATGTGAGCCTAAAGCATAACCCTATTTGTAGATTCAACAACACATTTTCAGGTCACATTGTTAAAAAAAGACTATTTAATGGTAAGAAAATCCAAAAAACTGCAGCATCTACAGGGAAGATTCAGGCAGTACAGCTACATGACCATCATTGATACCTGTATGTCTCCTTACACAACCCTGGAAGCAACTGTCAACTACTACTCTGATGCAAAACTGTATACTTTAGGTGTGACCAAGAGATGGTAGGGGGTATGCAGAAATAATAAAAAAAACTGCTTATGCGATTATCTTTCAGGCATAATTTAGTAAGAATCACGAGATCCAGTTTGCATTTTTTTTGTATGTGTGCATTTTCAGTATTTTCTCATTTTTCTCCTGTCCTCCACCTTTGCAGAAAGTCCCAGTGTCCCCTCTATCTTCTGCCTTTTCCTTCATCTCCCATACTTCCTGTAAGGCGGTCTTGCTCCCTTCTCCTTTATATATATTTGCCATGACTCTCTAACGGTATTCAGGGTAGGTTTCTCCTTGCTTTTGTCCTTACGTTTCTTGTGGGTGTCTGTCTTTTCCTCAGTTACTATATAAAAACTGAATGGGGAAGGAACACTCACTCAACGTGATCAAAATCCTCAAGAGACATCTTCACATCCAACATCCCCTAGTTTCACTTGGAAATTCGAACTCTGTGTCTTACTTCCTGCATGCTTCTTACCAGTAGGAAGTCTTTAAGTCAAACTTGAAGAGGACTTAAAACTTTAGTGTGAAAGTACTACAATGTTTTAAGATTCAATCTTGATGACTGTCTTCCACTTTGTCCACAGTATAAGTAATATATTAAATTAAACATCTAAACTTTAGTTCAGGTTTGGCAAGAACATACGGGAATACAAAAAAAATAACTTAAGAATTTATTTGCTATGTCTTGTTAGCTCGATAATTTCACATTTTGAAGTCACACCTTTAAGAGAGCAAGTAAAATACTTATATAATCAAGACAACAAGTAAGAACATTTTGTTCTGAATATAAATTTTAAAACAAAAATATCTGAAAAAAATTTCCTTTCCTTTTGCTGTCAAGACTCAAACTCAAAATCTCCTGCCTCTCCCAAAAGGTAGTATAAGGGATTTATTTCCAAGTTCTGCCTTAGGATTTAACAATATTATCAGTATTTGTATATCAGTTGCTGATAGTATCAGCAGCAATTACTCACATGCTCTAAATAATCTAATGCTGAAAAATAAATGTTGAGCTTATTTAAATATTCTTCGTCCTTCTCATGAGAGGAAAAAAAAGATGTGTTTGGTTTCGGGTTTGTTTTTTTTTTTAAATATTTCTGGTGCATATTAACACAGAAGCCTGACTGCGAAAGTAGAAAGGTGAAAGGAAGAAGAGAGATATGAGCTAGCATGTATACTCAATTACTACTAGAAGCAGAAATGGTTAAGCATCAGTTAAGAGGTACTGCCAAACATCAGAGGCCTGAGAAAGGAACCTATCAATTTTTCTCTGGAGAACACAGAGGTGAAATAAGTACTTTTAACAAGAATGCAGAAAATGAATAAATAAAGCATCTTTTTCATGATCCTTCTACTACTTCTACTACTTAACTCCTTCCAGCAATTTTTGTAAGCCAAGAGACCCAAATCTCTCCCATGTCTTTGCCTACTAGTCAAGTGAAAGTAATATAATTCCCAATTCAAAGAAGGTATTATCTCTAGCCTTAAAAAACAGCACTCCTTTGTTTTCACTTCTTTGAACTCGTGCAGCCTGTTAGAAGGGAAACTACATTCTTGCTGAGTATGGAGAGGCTGTTAAAGCAACTGGAGGAAGGTAATTCCTTCCATGTCTTTGTCTTCTACTAAATTCCTGTCAGATCCTGAGCTTTAGTACCTTTGCAAGCTTTTGCCCTGTAGGGCTTGTAGGCATACTGAAAGAGATCCATACACAGCACTGTTTCCTGACTACTCCTCTCCTCTGTTAGGAAATAGTTTGTTCCTCACACTGCACAATATACCATTTAAATATTAAGCAATTAATAATTTATCAAAATAAGATTTCTCCTTGAACAATAGGAAAATAACATGAAAGAAAGCGTTGAATTTAGAAATGGAACTAATTTTTAAATGAAGAACAGTTATGCCAGTTTTGGGGTGGCTGGTTTATCTTCTATATTCTAATTTCAGAAATAAACCAGCTGGTTTTGAAATAGTACCAAGCTGCATCAAAACAGATTTTTTTCTTTTTCTATTAACTCTAACTATATAGTCCGCTTTGATTTCTGAGAATGTTTTAACAATACTCCACATGAGCTATAAATAAAACTTACAAAAAAAAAGTTTACCAAAGTTTTCCAAAGGCCTGATAGTTGTTGGAAGAATTGTCCCTGCCATTGTAGTAGTGAGAAGAAAGGTCTCGGCTTCAGCTCCATGAGACATTAAAGGAATTCTGGAAAAGCAAAAGCATTAACATTAGCTGTTTTAGCTGTTCGTAGTAACTTTGGAAACTGCACAAAACCAAAACATTAGGCAACCATGAGGATTCCAACCTCATCACAGTTGGAGAGAAAGGCAAAGCTGACAAAGAACAACATCTTCCTTCTCTTATTTAATTTCAGGCTTATATTAAGGCCTAATCTAGTAAAACAGTTTGAACAAGGTATGTTACTTTAAAGCAATACACATTTAGCTTTCTTCAAAGCCAAACATAGAATTCTAATGAACGGCCTACTCCAAACTAAAAGGCTATACTACTGAAAATAAGTGTCTGAACACTGATTTAGCTCTTCAGCAGAACAGTCTTTTCTGCAGAAAAATGAGAAACAGCCTACATAGATTAGTGAAGGCTTCTTTTTTTTTTAACATACAAAATATATACTTATTCAGACTCCCTCAGCAAACCTTGGGAAAAAACAGAATTTACTTATAGATTACAATTTTTAAGTTATCACTGAGTTGGAATGAAACTTTCCATATGGAAAAGTAAATGTAAAAAAAAAACCCACAACAAACTCATTCTTTAAATCCTAGGTGCAACTTTTAGTTATAATTTAAAATCCCTTTACTTGTTCTTTTGTCTTTAGCCTTTGTTTTACGCCAAAGACAGTAAAGAGATATGTACTGAAATTAAGATCACAGACAGAACCAATTTCTTACTGTGTCATTTTAAAATCAGCTATTTTTATGCTTCTACTTTACATTCAACAAAACATCTTTAGGATATGTTTTAACATGCATCTGCTCTCTGACAAAAAATTATTCATGTTCTCTTGTTTCATTTGATAGAATTCCTCTTAACTCTTTCTAGACGCAGTTGTTTATAAACAACTACAGAAAGTGTTAGAATCAACCCATGAAGGGGGGGGGATCAAAATCAGATTGATGTTAAAGCAAATGCAGTCTAATTTCTAATGATAGAAATAATTTTAAAACACTAACTTCCAAATAGAAAATATATTTAAACTTGCATTTCTGTGAAAAAGTGACAAATGAAGATGCACAAGTCAGTGGGGTTCTATGCTTGTCATGAGTATCAAAAAGAATGAAGGTATACAGAATATAATCTAAAATAGCATGTAGCAAACACAAGTTAGCAAGTTACATGCAAACATTATTTAGTTTTATGATCAAATGATATTCTATCTAAAGAGCAATTTCAATTAATCAAATTCCAAACTTGAAGTATTATATGGAGATCCTTTGCACCATGAATACAAAACACATACCTTTCAACTCTAGCAAGAGCAGATGAACAGGACAATTCCAGTTCTTGTCTCTTCTGCCTGATGGCTGCATTGACTTCTGTGAATTCTGTACTGAAATATAAATTTCATACAAAAAGTTAACTTTGTACTATGACAATTTTGTATTTCAAGAATCGTTTCTATCAGTGACTTTTTAAAAATTCAACTGTATTAGAACTTTCAACAGTCGTGATGAAGCTATGCATGGTTATTGTTTAGAGGGAAAAAGCAGTCATAGTAAAAACAACAAAAGTCCTAAATAAATGAGGCAGGCAGAATGCAAAAAAGAAGAAATGTGTTTTCTGGGGAGCTGAAAGATGGAGAAACTTTGCATTCTTGACAAATTAACACAGTTGCATGCATGGCAAAAAGTTTTTTTCATTTACAGGCTGCTCAAAACATACAAACAGAATAATTTTTGGTTAAGTCATTTTTTTCTTTTTTTTTTTTTTTAAACACCCGTTCTTAAGTATTAGGCACATTAGGCAAAATTGCTTCATGTATGTTTGAAAGTATTCCTCTTGGAGTCAAGGAACATCAACTAAGAAGATTGTTTCTGATACAAAAAAGGATATTTACTGTTAACTGTTTTGCTAACTGCTGTTTTAATAACAGGACTAACCCTTTCGTATCCAAGGCTTCAATTCAGCAAGGAGTTTAAATATCAGCTAAAAATAAAACTTATTAACACCTATTCAATCAACAAGATTAAAAGCACACATTTAAGTATTTTAATGCCGAAGACATAACAGAAATTGGGGTGTGCCCTTAACAAATAAGGAGGTGACTGGTGACAGCCAACATGGCTTCAGTACAGGCAAATCCTGCCTGAAAAGTTTGGTGGCTTTTTACAATGAGATTACAGCGTTGATAAGGGAAGAGCAACTGACATCATGTACCTGGACTTGTCCAAAGCATTTGATACTGTCCCACACAGTATCACACGACATCCTTGTCTCTAAATTGGAGAGACATGGATTTGACAGATGGACCACTCGGTGGATAAAGAATTGGCTGGATGGTCACACTCAAAGAGTTGTGGCCAACAGTTTAATGTCCAGGTGGAGGCCAGTGACGAGTGGTGTTCCTCAGGGGTCAGTACTTGGGCCAGTGCTATTTAACATCTTTGTTGGAGACACAGACAGTGGGATCAAGTGCACCCTCAGCAAGTTTGCAGATGACACCAAGTTGTGTGGTGTTGTGGACACTCTGGAGGGAAGGGATGCCATCCAGAGGGACCTCAACAGGCTGGAGAGGTCGGCTTGTGAGAACCTCATGAAGTTCAACAAGGCCAAATGCAAGGTCCTGCGCATGGGTTGGGGCAATCCCAAGCACAAATCCAGGCTGGGCGGAGAATGGATTGAGAGCAGCCCTGAGAAAAGGACTTGGGAGTGCTGGTCGATGAGAAGCTCAACATGAGCCGGCAATGTGCGCTGGCAGCCCAACTGTATCCTGGGCTGCATCCAAATAAATGTGGCTAGCAGGTTGAGGGAGGTGATTCTGCCCCTCTAGTCTGCTCTCGTGAGACCCCACCTGGAATACTGCATTCAGCTCTGGAGTCCCCAAAACAAGAAGGGCATGGAGCTGCTGGAGTGAGTCCAGAAGAGGGCCATGAAGATGATCCGAGGGCTGGAGCATCTCTGCTATGAAGACAGGTTGAGAGAGTTGGGGCTGTTCAG